CCATCTCGTTCCCTGTGTAGCCGCCGATCTATTTGCTCATCGAAGATGTCATGCAGCCTCTTGAAGTATTTGGTGGAACGGCGACGAATGCCCTGCGGGTCGAGCTTTGCGAGCAGTGGGAAGTAATCGGACAGGTTCGCCCGCCCAGCTTCCTCCGTGATCCCCTCCACCACTTGCTTGAATTCTTGCGCGGACTCAGCGTAGAGATCGACGAGATCCACGGAGAAGACGGTGCGAGAAATTAAATTCAGCGTGGTGCTGAACGCCACGCGCCCGACGTGAACCAGCAAGCCCTTGGACGTGCTGTCAGAGATGTACTGCATCAGTTCCTGTACCTTTTCGCGCCGAAGGGACTGGTAGCTGTCGAGTCTTTGTGCAGTAAAGAGCTGGGTTTTACAGATTCTACGTAGGTTCCGCCATCGTTGGCACGGCGGAAGCCACACCATGGAGGCCTCGCTGTGGGCCAACACGCGAACAGCTTCTGGGATCCAGCGACTGGAGAGCACTGCATCGTTCTTCTGCAGGATTTCTCCTGCCATTTCCGGGGAGGAGACGAACACGGTGGTCACTTGACCGAGGCGGAGGGTCATGACTGGGGAATAGAGCTTGGCGAGGCGGGCGAGGGAACGGTGGGGTTTGTCACCGAGCTCGAACAGGTTGCCGACAACTGGAAGTGGAGTCGGCCCAGGTGGAAGCTGGTGACCGGCGGACTTCGATGACCTCTTTGCGGCTCTAGAAAGAAGAAGAAGAGAAAGGACGGAGACACCGAGAGAAAGAAGCAGCCACAGAGAGGACTCCATCACGACTGCAGAGAAGGGAACCACCAAGACGAAGGTGGAGGGGATAAAGGTGAGACATACAGGTACAGCGTCTTCGTCTCCGAAGTCTGTTAGCCGCCACAAGGCGAAAAGATGTAGGAAATTTAATTATAGTCTCAGGTGGCCAAATCTTCTGCCCTACCAGAGTTGTGCTGAGATAGCCCGCATTCCTATCCAATCACAAGTTAGGTGGACTCGATTAGCTAAGTAGATGTTGCAATAACGCGATTCCAGACTTTCCTATCGCAACACAGGGAATTGGTACGAGGAGCCATCACGTGAATCACATAGTCAATAAGATATTAAGGAAAGCACTATGTTTGTGTACGAATATGGATGAACGAGCCACGTTGACACAATTATTAATTGGGAACAAATATAAGAGATTAGGTGGACTCGATTAGCTAAGTAGATTGTATCGTAACGTGATTCCACACTTCCCTGATCGCAATACAGAGAATTGGTAAGAGGAGCAATCAGGTGAATCACTTTGTTAATAAGATATTAAGAAAAGCACTATGTTTGTGTAAGAGAGCTACATTTATATTTTTACTTTATAAATAAGCTCTCTCCTTATCATTTTAACTTGACATACTCATATACTAAAAGAAAAGACAAACTGTTGTATTATTATACATATAGTTAAAAACTTTTTTTAAGCCTTCTCTAACTCAATAAAAATCATATATAAATATTTACTTTTCTATCTGTATGTTTTATTAATTATTTTAATAAATAAATAACTTCTATCTTTTATGCAGAAGACTAAATTAATTTTTAGAGATATTTATTCCAAATCTTATTCTACTTTCAATATTTTTTTCAAAAATTTCACTGTATAACTCATGAATTTAATTTTTTTAATTAAAATAATTTTATATCTCACCCTTACTTTTATAAAATGATATTGAAAAACTCTTCATTCATTAGACATCTTTCTAAATCTTAAAATTTTATTAAATAAATCAGTTAATCAAACTATTTATTGATCTCTTAATTTTTTTTAAAACCTCAATAGGAATATCATAAGTCTCATACTTTTAGGTATTTTTTTCATTTTTTAAAACATCTTTTGCTCTAATTTTATAAATAAATTTATAATTATTAAATACACCACTATTATTTATCGTCTTTCACTTCTTTATCTTTTCTTAATTTCATTATCATTAATAAGAATTTTTTATATTCACTTTTAATATTATCTAATATATATATATATATATATATATATATATACTTTAAAATCTTTCTTTCCATCATATAATTTAAAATCCTTACATTGTTATTTTTAAAATTTCACCATCTTATACTAATAATTTTTTTATACTTTTTTCTTTCCAATTTCTAAAACAAATATCCAATATCATTAACGTATGTTGATTCGTCGGGTTTTCACTAAATATAGCTTTATGATTATTACATACAATTTAATCTAATTTTCTAGCGAAAAAAAAATCTTTCTAATTCCAATTATGACTCCTCTAATAAAAAATCCAAAATTATAACAGTCTCTCCATGTCCCTTCCCATAACCAAAACTATCATGCAAATTATTTACATTCATCATAAGTTTGTCCCATATGACTATTAAAATCTCCTCCAATTTAACTTTTTCACTTATATTCAACAATGCACATCCATTAAACTTTTTTAGTATATCAAAATTTAAACTAAATATTATAAATCTCTCTAGATTTTTATTATATTCACTTAGTGTCTTAAATGTTGAACACTAATAAAGCACCCCTATAGATGTTTATCATCAATAAATCAACCACAATATAAATGAGAGAGATGATGAACAAGAAGAAACAAGATGTTTTTGGCAGCTATATCATCGACTCATGATTTATGTCCACTAATCAAATTCTCAATTTCCGAAGGCCTGAAACAATATGTTAGAATACGATCTTGTTAGTGGAGGCAAAATCTGTTAATGAATTGCCAAATCCCCTCAAGGTCTTCTTCTTTGTAAGCTCAAAGAATAATCCTTCTCAGTTCAAGTCCTAACAATTTGGTCTCAACAGTGGAATCAGATCTTATCTTCATCACTTATTATTTCTATAAAAAAAAACGAAGCAAAACATTTTATAAAAAATAAAAACACCAACCATCTCACCTACTTTCATTGCTGGATGAGCCATACGGGCACGAATGGTTCATCTGCACAGAGAGTAGCACATCAATGTCGCATCATGACCATGATGGATACATATTCTCCCTGCAGTCATGGGCACGGATGGTTCATCTGCACAGAGAGTAGCACATCAATGTCGCATCATGACCATGATGGATACATATTCTCCCTGCAGTCATGGTATCAGACATCACATATCACCAGAGGCCGTAGCTCGATCTTATCTTCATAGATAGGTAATGCTCAAGGATAAAAACTAGGTATATGGTCTCTTCTGAACTTGTTACACAAAATCTAGAAATTCACCACTCTTCAAAATAAATTTCTACTTGACTACTAATTTTGGTTCATGCTTCTATATGGCTTCTACATCACAATATATCAAATGCTGCAGCCTCTGCCTTTAATACCAAATAATCTGTAAATGTGTACCAGTTAAACAAAAAACCTTACAAACATGCAATTTCCCAGCAAGCAAATCACAAGCATGTCAATGGCTAAGTTATATAAGCAGGTGGAGGTTGGAAACTAGGTAGCATAACCTGATGCAAGGGCCTTGACTATTTTAAAGGAACAGATGACGAGACAATAAAATTGAGCAATCTGATGCTGTGTCCAATGGAGAAAAGGTATTCTAGGTATAAATCTCCATAAAAGAGCAAATATTAACACTATGAGAAAGGAAGCCTTGCATAATGTATATATCCAGAAAAGAACATTAGATCAGACCAACAGCCATTAACCATTTAAGCTATATCCAGATAGGTTGCTGCACATTTAGTTGCGTGCACCATGCATCAACTCAAGGAATACCATTCCATACATCTACCCTTTGACATTGTCTTACCACATCAGTGTTTCACTTTGGCATGCTACAAGCTGGCAAGTAATTGGAATGAATTTTAGTCCTTCAGTCTGATCTAAGCTAACTGCTCAGTTAGCTTTAAAGATTGATTTAAAGATTTCTAAGTAATTGGAGTTTGGATGAATCACAGGAGGAGAAAAAAATAACTGATAACATTGATTTAAAGATTTCTTTTTTATTTAGTACATGTTCTCCCAATAATTTAGGCATAGTTCCCATAATGACATGTATATTCTTTTAGACAATAGTTTCATGAATGCACCTATATAAATAAGGTCCTTAAAGGCATCCACTGCTTGTTACTGCTGCAAATCTTATGAGACATTTACCAGTGTACTAAAGAAAAAAAAAGAAAAAAGAATATGTGCCCTCTTTCAAGTTCAGCATTGAATTTACAACTATATAATCTTGTTGCTCTGTCAGTGTTTCAACTATCAGGTTCAAGCAAACATACAGATGACACTAAAGCATAAATAACTTATAAACAAGTATGATCTTCATCACAACTCTTTCTGCAATGCCTAACGGTGTTGTATGCTAACATCAAATATTTCAATCCTAGAGTAAAGCACAAAAACTTAGTTTAATTATATGATTTTAATTATAATTAATTATAACCAAAAGCATCCTACATGCATATCATTTTAATTATATGAAATGCATCATTTTGAATATCAATGAGACGAAGATTAACAAAATCAACTTAGTTTAAGAGAAACTATTTGGTTTTCAGTCATCAATTTATTGCTAATATCACCTCAAAAGTATAAATGAAAGCATTACACACCATCAGAAGATTACTACAGTAGAAAAAAAAATCGCTGCAGACATTGTCTACTTAGCAAAAGCTTACTGATAGATTCTTAATGCCTTTTGTCCTCGACAAGAGGATTAACCTTCTTGTTTATGTTCTGGTTTATTGGGTATAAAACTTGGAATAAAGTCCATTATCATTAAACTTTTATTCAGTAACGAAGGGATAGAAAACATACTTTGCTTTGCCTGCAATATAACATGCATTGTCAAAATTAAAAAAAGCAACTAGGTGAAAGAGAATCCTGTCCTGTGCAACAGAAATCTGCAGACAGATTATCCCGTCAAAATCCAAGAACTTTTCTATTGCCAATAGGATTTTGCAAGACGATTTTAGAAAAAACAGAGGTTTCACCAATTGGAAAACAATATTTCAGGAAGTTGTTTCTAACATAAAACATCATTTACATATGTTCCCATGTTGTATAAACACAGAAAAGAGACGAGGATGCCTAGGAAAGTAAGAAAGAATAAATTGGGCTTTATAATTTAAAATATACATAAAATATTCACTTATATGATCCTCAATTTGCTTACTGTTGCTTTATTGTAGTCATATAATAGCAGTAATATACAGATACAATTTTTTATCTTAATCATTTAAATGACATTAACATTTATGTTATGTGAACATATGTTAATTTCAGTAAATCAACAGACAGTTTTGTAAACTTCAAAGTGTTCTGGATGTAATCATGAAGTCTGTGCTTCTTTATCTCATATGGAGAGTAAAATAAAGACATGACCATATAAAAACGAAGATACCACGTCAATTTCTGTGTAAACCAAAGCAACAAAGGATTTTATTATACGCAACATAAATATTAACCACACAAATTGTACAATTCTTATAGAAATCAACAAGTAACTCGGGATACCAAGGGATATCATTCCAGGTCCATAAATTATTCAGCTATCAAGCTCTTAAAGTGACTAGTATTGAAGTAGACTTGTATGAGAAAAGATGGACACAGTGGAAAATTCTGACTGATAACTTAACTTGGAATCTGACTGAATGATCTGATATCCATAAATTATTCAGCTATCAAGCTCTTAAAGTGACTTGTATTGAAGTAGACTTGTATGAGAAAAGATGGACACAGTGGAAAATTCTGACTGATAGCTTGCCTTGGAATCTGACTGAATGATCTGATATCCAAATACATGGGACATGAATTTACAAACTGACATACTTGGGACATTAATTTCTCACAAAAAAAGTGAAAGGTCAACAAAATGCAGATGCAATGAGTCAAAAGAAGCAAAAAAAGTCAACATCCTTATCGTCAAAGTTTTAGATGACCTCTGAAGCATCACATTTGGGACGAACATCAAAGTGCTATCTGAAAATCTTTCAAAAAGGATTTGTGGAAGCTTCACAGTATGTTTACAATATATACATACATATATATACATACATATATATCCATACATATATACATACATATATGTGTGTGTGTGTGTATGTGTATATGTACACACACACACACACACACACACATAACAGATTAAATCATTTTCATGTAATAAGAATCATGAAGAAGAAAATTAATAAATAGCATGATCACCGAGTAGAACAAATTATGTCAATTTTGTTATATGTTTGAGTTCTGCAAATGCAATATAATTACACAAAAAAGGATATTGAAAGTTGGACAGAAGTTGACGTATATGACCTCAACACGGAATCATAACAGACCTGAATTTTTAAAAAGACCCAATGTTTTGAAAAAAAAAATAGGGTGTAGAGGAATAGTTTGCAATCAGTTTTAATCACAAGTGCTAGTCACTAATTGTAAAAGCAGACCAGAATTCGGGAAAAAAAATATATAAAAAATTGGGACATCCATGTGAAGATTCAAAGGAAAAATAAAAATACAAAACACCACATGTCAAGAGCCAATGGCTTCGGATGAGAGGTATTCTCACATATGCCCTACTTCCAACAAAAGGCAACAGGAAGTGAATTCTATATAGAAAGTCCGCTCTGCTTAAAAATAATACTCAAGTAAATAAATGACAGTGCAGAAAGCAAATGCTTCCAAGGAAACTTAATTTTATGCCTAAAAAGGACAAGAACACAAGTCAACAATTCTTTTTTATGGAATTGCAAGCATCTGATCCAATAAGGCTAGAACAAATTAGCAATTTTTTTCTATGGAACCAGTACTTGCTTTTAGATAATAAAGTTGAAAATTAAATCAAGTTGCCAGAAATTTGTTATGATTCTCTAAGAAGGTAATAAATAAGTTGAACGTATGGAAGTCTCAACATTAGGTTCAGGTTGTGTTGGATTTTGAAGAACAATTTCAATTTAAGTTTGTAAAAAAAAACTAAAACTGAAAAAGGAGAACATTGGTATTTAATTATGCTATTTCCAAGATTCCCTCAAAAACTCTTGATTAGTGAAAATGTAAATGATTAGAAAATATAATCACATATAAGAATCAATCAGATAGAACTTTTGTTTCAGATTGAGAATAATATCATCATGTTCCTTAAAGCTTCTTACTCTTGGCTTCCTTGTTCTCATCTGCAGTTCTTGTATGATACAAATAGTATTATACTTCTGGCAATCCATACTTCTAGAGCCATATATTCCTCAAAATAATTCCATGGGACGCTTTTTTTTTAAATCATATTTCTATTTCTGGTCCTAAACAATATTGAGATGAGTTGTTCGAGTTTCTTTTCAGAGCCACACAAAGTCATAATAAGCATTGAAGTGAAAGAACCAACAGAAACATGCAATACCAATATCTCTAAATTATCAAATCAGGCTTTGTTTTCCATTTAGCATTTATTTGAATGTACTTGGAATAGTTCGAACTTTAGGGAGTTGTAATATTTGGTGATGGTTGCTACATAATGTAAATTTTCTACATTGGCACATTCTGAGTATTTCATTATTGGAAATGCACTCAAGGAATCACACAGAGATCTTAAAAAACTGCTGATGAGGATGTTGGCTCAACTCTTTAAACAAAAACCATCAAACTTCTAAATGACTCAGCTAACAGTTTTGGCAAATTAATACCTATATCAGTCGTGTCAAAGATGAAAAAGTGCAGTCCAATGGTGACACCAATTGTCTCCCTTGGATCCATTTGAAGAAAGCAATGCTCATGCTAATCAATTTCCAAATAAGGAAAATCAACATTGCACCTTTAGATATGTAAACAAAGGCAAAGTGGTTGGGTGACTGACTCAAATGGACATTCAAGGAGTTCAACTCCTACTATGTGGCCAACCCAACAGAGATAAAATATTGCCTCAGGAAACAGTGATACTAACAAAGCCATGGTGTGAAGATTAAGACCTAGAAGAAAGACCGATATCATGAAATCACTTTGGCTTTTAACATGAGGACAAGTCTCTAAATTTAGAGACGAGTTTCAAATATAATAATTAAGAAATAGGAACTTTATATTCCTAAAAATTCATTTAATGATGTCTCCATAGGTGGAACAGAACATGATCTTCAAATTCAAGTCCTTGCAGTTCATCTTGCCTAGAAGGCTTCACATAGTGTTCACTTGTCCAGTATCTGAAGGGGTTGGCCAACACACCTTCCTGCCTAGGCTGATCATTTATTCCTTCCAGATATAGATCACTACGTGCACAATCCCTATGTTAGTCCTATTGCATCCATCCTCTTGTGTCCATCATTAGCAGTGGCCTAAACAGGAGCTTCTAAAACAGATAAAACCCTTACCACACCCTTACCACATCGGTGGAAAGGGCTTTGCTTTTAAAGGGCTAGGATAGTATCATGAAGAAAAGTCAAATCTGTGACATAAGTGCAAAACATGCATTGGAATTTTGATATCAACTAAGAGATGGAACCTTGAGGAAGAATTATCCAATAAAAGTCGAGAAATCAAACTGCTAAAGAAAAGAGCCACAACCACTTAAAATGTTAATGCATCTTATTTACACAGTGACACTATATCAACTGTGGCTTAGAAACTTAAATCATGTACTTTGCTTCTTCTACCAAAAGATAATATTTTACTGGATCTGATATACTTTGTTACTACTGTTAATAGGGAAAAAAGCTTAAGTTTAAGATGGAGTTAATTAGTGTTTGAGGTGATGGTAAGCAATAATTATAAGGTCATGTACTCAAGAACATGTGCTTATTTCAGAGTTCATTAGTTCGGTGCCCTGCCCATGAAAGATAATATTTCAAAGTTTATTAGTTCGGTTGCGGTCCTTCATTGGATTAGTAAAAACCAATCAATATGTACTGATTTGACCAACATTAATAAGCATTACCAGAATGATATCTAAATACCTGTTTCTCATTAGTGAAAACCAAACATGAGAAATGAAAGAACAAGCGAGCTTGTTTCTCGTTAGTAGTAACGACCACAAAGTACGACAAAGAATGGTTCATGCCAGTGCAAAACAATTCCCAGAATGATATCTAAATGCCTTCTTCGTTTCTTAACGATGATGACCACAAAACAGAGATGTAAAGAAGAAGAGCAAATAAGCAATAATTAGAAGGTAAATCGACAAAACAGGGTGAAAACAAAAAAATCATAAGAACATTAATAAGGATTGGACGAAGGAACAATTTAATCCACCTGAGGAAGTAGCAGAAAATATCACCAACTGCCACCAACATCCTTCCCTGGCTAGAGAGCACTGCTGCTGCCACCTCTTGATCCCTTTTTACTCGAGGAAGTAGGGTAGTACCCAAGGTACCACCGGACGAACTTCTTGAGGCCAGTGTTCAGACCGGTGGTCGGATGATACCCGAGCTCCCGCTGCGCAAGGCTGATGTTGGCATGAGTAAACTGTACATCCCCATTCCGTGGCATTTTGACGACATTGCGGACGGCCTTGACCTTTAAGAGTTGCTCCAGGATAGACACGAGATGAGACACGGGGACTGGGGACGTATTGCCGAGGTTGTAGACGCGGAGCGGCGCAGACCCCCGCTTCTTGCCGCCGCTACCGGTGCTCTTCCCAGCATTGTCGAGAGCCGCAAGACAACCGCTCACGATGTCATCAATGTAGGTAAAATCACGGGCAACGGTGGCATGACCTGGGCCTTCAAAGATGGAAATCGGCTTGCTGCGGAGGATGTCTCTCGTGAAGAAGAAGTAGGCCATGTCGGGGCGCCCCCAGGGGCCGTAGACAGTGAAGAAGCGGAGGCCGGTGATGGCGAGTCCATAAATGTGGTTGTAGACATGGGCGATTTCCTCGCCTGCCTTCTTGGTGGCGGCGTAGAGGGAGGCCGGCCGGTCAGTGCGGTCAACCTCCGAGAAGGGCACGTGGGAGTTGAGGCCGTAGACGGAAGACGACGAAGCCCAAACAACGGCGGGCTGCGGGTCCGCTGACTTGGCGACCTCGAGCACCGACACGAGCCCGGCGACATTGGAGTGGACGTAGGAGGACGGATTGGTCATGGCGTAACGGACGCCGGCCTGCGCGGCCAGGTGCATCACATGGGTGAAGGGCACCACGTCGAACAGCTTGTGGAGGAGAGGGCCGTCGTTGACGTCGCCCTCGACGACGAAGACACCCGCGCGGTCGAGGAGGGCCTGGCGGGCGCGCTTGAGGGAGGGGTCGTAGTAGTCGTTGAAGTTGTCGAGCCCAAGGACGCCGTCGCCGCGGCGCTTGAGCGCGGTAGAGACGTGGGTACCCACGAAGCCGGCGGCGCCAGTGACGAGGACGGAGATGCCGCCGGAGCGGCGGACGCGGGCGGAGGAGCGCACGCACTTCTCCCAGGCGGGGCCGCCCCACGGGGCGGCGTTACGGAGGGAGCGACGCCCAGAGGTGGAGGAGGAGTTGGGGGTGGTGGGTGAGAGGAAGAAGAAGGCGACTAGGAGGGCGATGGCGAGGAAAGACCAGACTGCGACCTTGGAGACGAGCGGGTAGTGATGCCACCGGACGGTGAGCTGACGCGGGTGGTGGTGGTGGTGATGGTGATACTGGGGCTTGTCCATCTTGAACTTGCCCGGGGTGGCCGGCAGGCTATCCATCATCACACTTCGATTCTACCCTTGGTTATCGGATGGCGAAGTGGAGAAGAATGAAGAATAAGACGAGAGATTTGGATCCAACGCCTACGCCTTGGCTTCCAAGAACCAAATCGACTAATGGGCTTGAAAACGGAGAAGTAGATTGATTCTAAACGGAAGAAGATAAAGATGAGAGCAGAAGCATCCAACAAGCTGTCGTCCCCACGCCACCCCCTACTAATTCACTATAAATCTCCCTAGCGAACAGGACAACGGCCTCTCTCTCTTCCTCCTCCTCCTCCTCCCTCCTCCACTGGTCTCAGTGAAAGCGAAGATTCGGAAGGTGATGATTAGACTCGCCCCTCTTACCGGCCTCACTGTCTCGACGGCTGGCTTGGGATTGTGGCAAAGCCGGCGTCGGTGCAGTTAGGGAGGGAGGATCGGCGAGCGAATGTGAGGTCGCAGGGAAGTCAAAGTCGCCAGGGTCACGGGGGTTCGTAATAAATAGGGATGCGGACGCCTTTTCTGGAGGACTCCGTTGCGGATTTTGTTGGACGCGGATATCACCGACGAGGAGAGAGAGAGAGCGAGCGTCGCACGGTGATGGACGCCACTTGTTGAGTTGTGAGGAGGGAGAATGAGAATGAATCGTAAGTAAGCAGAGGCTGCGGGTGACGATCGAGTACACCAAAATGGACGGACGCCCTTCGATCTCCTCGTCCCTTCTCGACGTGATCTGATCTGGGTGCCAGATTTTTCTGGAGACTTCCAACGGAAGATAACAAGCTCCTATCTGGTCGTGTTTGAATTCAAATTTCATCATGGTTTGTTCGGGAGTCGGTCACGTATCAATCAGATGTTCCAAGTAGAGAGCAGTGCTCGGAAGCACCACAGAGGAAATGAGACCCCCGATGAGGAGGAGGATCTTTACAGTGGTTGTCCCTCGAAACGATCATGTCGCGGAGTTCCAAGGGTTGGCGAGAGACTGGCGGTTGACATTATTTTACTCGCGATCGCAGAGGAAGCCTAAAAAAGATTCATTGGAATTGCTCGATTGTAGTCGGTTCCTGTGAGCATGTGAACCAACACTTCATTTTTTGCCAGTTCGCCCTTTTCTTTTCTTTTCTTTTCTTTTTTGCCAGTAAAAAGTACAGACGGCCAGTTGGCAAGCACAGTGTCAAAAGCCCATGAACTAACTGGTGAGTATGTGATGGCAAATCCCGTGACACAAATTTGATGTGGAATGAATAGAAAATTTGAAACCACGTAACCTGTCACGACTCGATTGCATGTCATGTGCGGTCAGGACCGTACCTGAGACACCCCCCCCCCTCACTCGATAACACAGTCTGTGTGGGTTTGGTCCTTTGCGTTGATCGGCTGGAATATCATCATTCATTGGACCACTCCTGCATGGGAATCACATAAGAAGAATAATGAACCCCACGGGTAATTTCGCAAATAAATATCTATATAGTCTGTGTGGATTTGTCCTCTCTATTTCTTCTACTAATAAACTACTCGTATTCGTGCACAAGTCAAAGGGTCAAGTAGCAATTCATACATGAGTTAGATGAGCTGATGCGTAGTAAGTAGTACAGCACACTTTTGATTCCTGAATCCAATCCTTAATATATGAACACCTACCTCATCGTTAGCCTTTTTTCTAAATCTTTACGAGCTGTTTTTGACTTAATTCCTCTAAATCCGGATGAACGTAAGGACTAATGAGCTCCTCCTCCTCCTCTCTTGTCAGCTCTCAGAGCTTCCTTCCGTCAAGGGACAAGTCACATTTGTCATGTGGTTCCCGAAAGGTAGATGCATTTGTATTGAAAGATCTCTTCAAGAAAAGGGAAAGGGGGCGAAGACAACTCCATATTCTATCCTGCCCTCTTGCGAGAGCATTAAGCGAGAGAGAACAAACGGTAAGAAAGTTATCTTCCTCCAAAGCCTTGAGTGGCCATCGATGCTCCTATTTAGCCTTCGTCCCTTTTCACGGTGGAAGCAAGTGGTACCAACAATGAAAAGGAAGACCATCCTCTTCTTGCACAAAGATGCAGTAACCATCTTTACGACAAACATGCCCGTCAAGAGAGTTTCGTTAGCAGTTCTGGTCAAATAATTATTTGGGGTGTTGAGATTTTAGTGGTCAACGGAATCCAATAAAATAAATGATTCACATGTCAAATTGAACTATTTCAATTACATAATAACAATAATAATAATAATAATGATAAAGCATTAAGTATTTCATGAATGAAAGTATTAAGAATAATATATTAAACATTTTATGAATTATATTAAATTAAGATCCCTTGTCTAGTCTATATATAATAGGCTTATGGTTATCCATCAAGGTCTATACATAGTAGGTTTATGGTTATCCACTCATTATTTTAAGTGCATCATTCAAGAAGTTCAATGTTCTTCTTCAAACCATTATTGTTAAACAATCAGAAGGTAACTTTATATTTCACGGTAGATTTAATTCATGAATTATTTTGCTAACACCAGTGGTATCAGAGCTATGCTTTATCCATATTATTCAAAACATAAATTATACGTGAGATTTTTCTTTGATAGAATCAATTGTATTTAATTTGAACATAAATTTTATTCTAATCGATATTCTGGTTCTTCTTATTCATAATCAGTTTCTCATCTTCATTTTTTTTATTTTAATTGTTATATAATGAATATATTGGTTTTGACGAGATAAAACCAAACTTATGGTATGTATATATTATGAAATATATTGATTATTATCGAAACCATATATAATATTAATTGATGGTAATCATCTCTGTAGTAAAATAATTTAAGATAAAATAAAAAGATAAATGACATCACATACGGTTGTAATTGACTTGTGGAGGGTAGGCAATTGGCCTTATAAAGAGGTAATTAATTATCTTTCATGAGTTAATTGAAATCAAATAATATAATAATTTGAGTATTAATTTTTATAGACCCACATGTATGAAAAATTATTTTGGCGCTCTTGTTATCGGTCTTATTAATTAAAAATTAAAAATATGTTATGTCAAGATAAAACCAAACTTATGGTATGTATATGATATGAAATATGTTGATTATTATTGAACCATCAAGTGATTTTGGACATATATATTCAAAGGATTATTTTATGTCTTGGGTTATTTTAAATATATTGATAATTGATATTATTTGGACACATCACGTGGATTTCCATTATGTAATTTGTTGTACATGCACTTTTTGTGATTTTAATTATTTTTTGTATTATGCATTAATATAAGGATTTATTAATAAATTAATGATGAGATGTCATATAATATTTTAACCTAGGAATAAACACAGACTCTTAAGTTACAATATAATATTAATTGATGATAATCATATCTATGATAAAATAATTTTTAAGATGATTATAAAAGGATAAATAACAGCACATAAGATTTTAATTGACTTGTAGAGGGTTAGCGCTTGGCACTATAAGGAGGTAATTATCCTTCATTAATTGAAATAAAATAATAATTTAATTTTTTTAGACCCACACGTATGAAAAATTATTTTAGTGCTCCTATTATCAGTCTTATTCATTAAAAACTTAAAATATATTGTGTCAAGTTAAAATAAACATATGGTATATATATATATATATATATATATATATATATATATTATGAAATATATTGATTATTATTGAAACCATCAAGTGGTTCTGGACATATAAATTAAAATCTTGAACTATTTTAAAATATTGATAATTGATATTATTTGGACATATCAATTAGATTTTCATTATGTAACTTTTTGTAGATGCACTTTATGTAATTTTAGTTTTTTTTATATTATACATCGATATAAGGATTTATTGTATTTATTAATGAATTAATGAAGAGATATTGTATAATGTTTTAACTAAAGATGAGGTACAGATTCTTATCTCATAATATAATATTAATTGATGATAATCACGTAACATCATATTCTTCGTTTTACTTATATCATATAGGTAAGATTGATGTAGGATATCATATTTCAATCATTTATTACTACTATCGATATAAATATAATAAAAAATAAATAATTATAAAATTTAAAACATGCTAATTACTAAACAAAATGATAAGATTTATCTTATACATGGTGATTTTGACACCTATACATAATTCAAAATATTTAACCAAATGAACTCAAACAGAACATATCCAATTAATTCCATCCAACATAACTTAATATGTCCAAAAGTTTTATACACGAAATGTCCATAGATCATCGTTGGCATAGGCTTGCATGTATTCACTTTCCTACCTAATCATTTGAGTATGGTACTAATATTTCTACCTATAAAATAAGATCCATAGTGCGTAATCACTAAGTATAAATTTTTATAATTTTATTCTAATGAACATATATATATATATATATATAACATTTTAAAATTATGAACATAAGACATTTAATGGTAAACATCTCATCTTAGGACTTCCTTGCACAACTCTACAAGTATATACACTATAAGAACATAAAATTTTACGTCAAAATAATTTAAAATATTAATATACATATATTATAAAAAAAAATTTACAGACTTTTACACTCATACACGCACACACATAAATATATTAAAATATTTATACACTCCCATACTACACATCATTATATATGCATACATTCATATAATTTTATGTTTACAAAATGATCAAATCAGTCGAAACATATTTTTTAAAATAAATTATAAATATAATAATTTATATAATTATTGTTTTATAATGTATTAAATTTATAATTAAACTTAAAAATGAAGATGTGAAGTAAAGATCATATTAAAAATAAAGATGTCAAGTAAAGATCATATTCTTTAATGATCTAAGTATACTAGAAAACGATAAATCTTCTTTTTTCTTAGGATTGAAGTTTTTTAGCCTCTATAATAAAAAACTGAGGGAATGACTTGAGGTCTATGGTTGAATCCCATTAGCCCTCCTCTTTAAGTCTTCTCTCTTTCCTCCATTTACTCCTTTTCTTTCTTTCTTTTTTTTTTTTTTTTTCCCTCCTCTCTTCTTCTTCCTCCCTTCTCCGACTTCCTCTTTTCCTCTTTTCTTTCCTTTATTCTTCTCTTCCTCTCTTTCATTCTTCTCCTTCCTTCTCTTCTCCCCAACAGCCACAGCCCCCTTCTCTTCTGTTCTCCTTCTCTCCTTTCTCCATTCTCTTTCTCTTTTTTCTCCTTTCTTCTTTTCTCCCCCACCGTTGCAGCCCCTTCTCTTTTCTCTTTCCTTCTTCTCCTTCCTTTCCTTCTCCCCCACAACAACCACAGCCTCCTCTCTTCTCCTCCTCCCCTTTCCACTGTTTCACTCTCTCCCTTCTCTTCTCTTCTTCCTCCCCTTCTCCTCCCTTCCTTCCCTTCACCCCCACATCCATAGATTCCTTTATTTTCCTTCCCTTCTCCCCCACGACCATAGCCGCAACCTCCTCCTTTATTTTCCTCTCGTTCTCCCCTTCTCCCCCACAGCGATAACCCCGTTTCCTTAAAACCCCTTGTATTTTTTACAATTTAATCCTTCTAATATCTATATTTATAAATAGATCTTCAAAAATAAAAAATATTACATTCTTCCCTCAAAATGATGAAGAGTTTACACCTATAAATTTCACATATCTAATATGATAAGTAATCAAGATTGATATATCTTCACGATATTAATCATATCATGAGATCACATATGATTGAACATCTTAAAACATATAAAAACTCAAAACAATATCCATCTCATCAAATATTAATCATCGAACATAAATATTTTTATTTTACACTAAATATTAACATAACTTAATCTCAGACTATTTACACTATACTGAACATAAATATTAATAGTGTTGAATATCAGATTTTGATGATGAAACAAATCGATAAATGTTTATATTTTAATCTACGTTTTGAGTGATACAGGATGCTTCGATCAAGATGAGACAATTAAAACATAAAAAATCATGTTGGGCCGGAGGAACATGTTAGAATATTGGACGTCGGGCTGGTGGATCGGTCGACGTATCGATAGAAGGCTTCGGGCCATAGATTCGGGCATCGGGCCAAGAAGAGCGGATTTTGCGCCAAGGATATCGGAGTTGCAGAGTCAACTGGCCGATTGGGCAATAGGGCGCAAGAAAGGACGATGCG